TGTGAGTTCGAGGCCAGCCTGGGCTACCAAGTGAGTTCCAGGAAAGGCGCAAAGCTACACAGAGAAACCCTGTCTCGAAAAAAAAAAAAAGAAAAAAAAAAAGATTGTTTCATAACATTTCCTATACATTTTCTAATGTAGTTTAAGCTTCTTTGAAAGGCTGCTCGCCCTATGTGAATTGTGCACATTTATGTTTCCATTTAAACATTATCATAGATAACCTTATATTTTTTTCAGCATGGCTGCCTGTGTGCAAGGTGCCTTGTAAATTTTACCTATTTGTGTGGTGATGTTTTGTTTTTGTTCTAACAAATAAAGCTTGCCTGAAGATCAGAATGCAGAGCCAAGCCACTAGTTAGCCAGAGGCCAGGCAGGGATGGCGCACACGCCTTTAATCCCAGCGCTCGGGAGGCAGAGGCAGACGGATCTCTGTGAGTTCAAGACCACCCGGGGCGACACAAGATTGATCCAGTCCAAAAGAGCTAGGCAGTGGTGGCACATACCTTTGATCCCAGCACTTAGGATCTCACACCTTTAATCCCAGCACTAGGGAGGTAGAGACAGGAAGTGACGTGGCAAGCTTGCTCCCTTCTGGCTGAGGATTTTGTAGAGGTAAGAACTAGTAGCTGGGTGCTTTGCGTCTCTGACCATTCAACATTTATCCTGATATCTGACTCTGGGTTTTTATTAAGACCAACTAGGATTTGTGCTACATACTTGGTTGTGGGTGACCTAGCATCTCCCCAAGAACCTTTCTGTACACAGTAGTAGATTACAAATGTTTGGAAAGAAAATAAAAATTTTCCAGGCACAGTGGTGCACACCCACAATCCTAGCGCATCAGAGGCTGATGCCGGAAGATGGTCAAGTTGAGGCCAGCCTGGGATATATCAGGGAACCATGTCTATAAAATAAAAAAAATCCCTTTCAACCCAAGCACCAACTTGCCAAAATTACAAAATAATGCTGCCAAAAATAAATAAATAAATAAAAACATTCAGCCAAGAATGAAGTGTAGGAAATTATACAAGACAGATTAAGGAACTTCTTTAAAAAAATAACTGACAAGGAAAAAGATGAGAAAAAAATTAAATCTCTAACTCTGATCTGCTAAGACAGCTAAGAGGGGAGATGTGCTTGCTACAAAAACCGACAACCTAAGTTTGACACCTGGACCCCACAACTGCAGGTCATCTTCTGACTTCTACACACACACATTGGCATATGAACAGCACCCCCTACCCCCACACTAAAATGTGTAAAGAAAAATGGAGTTAATTTGAAATGAGGCAGTGATGCCATCTTCCTCTAGGAGACATAATGATGCTGTGGTCCAGCTTGTTTTTAAAGTCTTATTGCTGTAATAGCAACAGCATTGTAAGGTCCCTGGAATTCACTTTGAATTAACCTGGTTATTGTTATTCCATGGAAAACAGTGGCAGGAGATAGATGAAATATTTACTGACCAGGTGCTGAAAAGTATTTATTATGCTATTCCTTTTATTTTTATGAGCTATTCCATAATGAAAGCTTGAAAACCAGTGAAAGGAATAAATCTTTATTTGTCAGAACTACAAAACCAGTACTAAACAGATGACTAAAAATAATTATCATATACATTTTCTAAGCAGGGATCTAAAGACCACGCCCACTGCAATAACAAAACCTTGAATCTTGGAAACAAACATTTGTGTGTGTGTGTTGTGGCACTGGGATGTGGGCAAACTATGCATCTGGTCCTTTCATCTTTTAGCAGAGTGTGGCTTTAAACTCCCAATTCTCTAGTCTCCACCTTCCTAGTACAGGGATTACAGGTGTGTGTCCCTGCATCCAGCAAGCATTTTCATTTGGTGTTTGTTCTGCAGTATGTGAAACTGCTTGTAATGCTTTAAACATTCTTATTTTCTTTCATTTATACAGCAATTCCACCCCTGTGCAGATTAACGCATTTATTAGTTAAGGTAAATCCGGGACGCGCTGCTTGACAGACATTATCTTAGTATTGGGGATAATAGGAAGATGGGTTAGTAGGCAAAACGCCTCACCACAAGCATGGGGATCTAGAGTCTGAATCCCTGGTACGTGCATGCCAAGGTGGGGTATGGTCACACATGTCTTTAACCCTACCCTGGGATAGCAGAGGCAGGCAGGTCCTAGGGGATCACTAGCCAGCTA